ATAGAAATAAAGGACAACTTTGCCACTGATAATCAGTAACAACACATTGTTTCAACACTTGATTGTGTCACACCTACACTAAGGAAAACTAGATTATACCACCGATCAAAAACAATTGCTTATAGTTGCTTGAAATGAATGCAGAACACAAATAAAAAAACAGTATATATTTGTAAAAATTAAAAAAACAAGACACCTGGAAAACCCATTTATCCTAATATACAACAAGAGTCAAATAAGAATCCAATCATAATCAAAGTTTCCACAACCAACAATCACAAGCGAAGCAAAATTCACAACACAAATGGGATGGAAGGAGCCGTGATAGAGGACCACTTCTGTTACGTCCCTGAAAGCACACAACGGCCCTCTTCACCAGAAATCAGTAAGACAGTACAACTTTGCAAATTTAAACATCTATATCAAAAATAAAGACAATGCTGTTGGAAGGAACTTTAAAATCAAGTCCTCCCGCAGCATGTTTTGCTTAACATTTAGGGGGCAACCACAGTCCTCCACTTCATTATGCCAAAAACAGTAGTGCTGTAACAGTACGTGCAGCCTTTGAGAATTTGTTGTGCTAAAAAATGAGTGTTTTCCATTCAAGTTGGATCATAAAATTACATTTAAGGTGCCTCCTTGCTTTATCAGAGCTGTATCACTGACAAATATTTAACATTTCCTCCTCAGTTTATCAACTCTCTGTACTGGATGGCAAAACCTTGCATAATATCACATTCACTTCCTTTAGTCGCTCTAAGGGGTGTGATGACAGGAGATGATAAACAATCAGGACTGTGGCCTTCCTCTTGTTGACCTCATTGCTAGCAGCATATTTTCTTGTCATGAGGACACATAACCTCTTTCATTATCCAAAGTTATCTGGATAGTTTTGCTCATGTCTGGGACAGACTGCTGTTCAGCAAAGTTGTCCAGATAACTCTGTTATCCTGCTTCATGTGGTAGACATTCAGTACTGTACACAATAGAGCAGTGGTCCACAGAGTCAAGATTTCTCCTTAGTCATTAGTTCAAGGTCCCCACAGTTTAATATATCCAGCTTCCTACGTGCGTTTAGTCATGTCGTCGCGCTAGACTGATGTCTGTTAAGTAGCTGTCTGTTACTTACTCACTCTAAAGCAGGAAATGGCACTTCAAAGTAAAAACTCTGCCAGAATTTCACTGTACTTCAAGATAAAGTGTGTTTCACAAGCTTGACATGTTTGAGAGTCACTTGTGGTTAGCTCAGATTGGACCCATTAGTTGGGAACCACTGCATTGTAGTCTGGTCTTTGTTAAAACACAGTGGGTGTATCATAGGTACTAGAAACTAGACACCTGCAGCACAGTGTAGTTATCCAACCAAGGAAGACCACATATCAAATCCACAGGTGAGGATTGCTGTGGCTACCTGCTGTACAAATGTTTACTTGAAAAATCTATAAGAATGTTGATACCTGGTGTTAACATGCATTTCAGTGATCCAAACATGAGCGGACAGCCGAGACACATCACTGTACACATCTGTGTCTATTACATACCTCCAGCTTAGGTCTCTTAGCCAAGTGGTAGCAATAGCGGTTGTGTCGGTACAGCTGGAGATAGCACTGTCAGCAGACTTCAACACATCTTTTCTCACAGGGCAAAATGGTGGACGGTTACACAACACTCTGTCCAATTCCAAGTTATAGAGAATTAGCACACTCTTACGAAAACTACCATCACATTGTGCACTAAGGACGCTGTACTTGTTGAGGACGCACTAGTGTTTACAGTACAAAAGATATTTGGTCAAATGTAACCCAGACCAGCTTAGCAAGTTGTTGAGCGCTGTATTTAACGCTGTCCACATGTACTCGGATCACCCAAGATGCATTTTAATACCATGTGGAAACAGACGTGATATGTGTCATGAGTTTCATTTGAAAAGCATTTTGTAGCACAACAAATTGTCCAAATCACAAGGCTTGGCCAAAACATTTCCATAGCACTGTTTTCCTGTATGATGTAAAAATAGAACTTTAAATGAAATTGGCATCAATGATTTGATATGTACATAAAAAAGCAGTTGAGACTCGTAACGTCCAGAAGAAAACTCCACAGCACCACGAACTTATTTACAGAAACGACAAGAGATTCATCCCTACAACGTCACGTCATAATTATGAATCTATATTGTCTTTTGTAAGTTGAAGAATATACACATTAAAAACTAAAAAAAATGAAGAGGTAAAAAAGACAATAATGTCAGTGCAACATCAGACCTGCTGAAATGGCAAAAAGTAGATAGGTTAGGCTGTTACACAAACAATAACACAAGTTACAACATTCTCACCAAAGTATCACACAAAATTTCAAAAGCTCCTGAAGCAACTGAAACACTGTAATTTAACATTATAACCAAGGCATATAATGGTAACACAACAGTTTAAAATAAGCCACTGACACACTCACAAATATGTTCCTTTACTTGGGAATAAAATCGAACAAAGTCAGGCCAAATGAACTCAATTAAAAAAAAAAGTGTAAACAATATTGTCAGTAGCTGCTCTTACAGTATTGTGCTCGTCATCAATGGAATCGGTACTTTCGTGCAGGTTTGAGGTTGACGTACGTCTTCTTCATGTCCTCTGCCTCGTCTTTCTTCACAAGCTGATATCGCTCGCCTTTTGTGGTCACCACCTGGTTTCCATGGTACCGAACTAGCTTCTTCGGAGCCTGTAAAAAAAAATAATCAGAATGCACAATTTTTATTGAACAAAACAGTTTTGATAAAGCCACATTTTGGATATGGAGAACAACCAGACTTACATCTTTGGGGGCGACAGGCCGGTGTGTTTTCTTATCATCCTCCCTGTCCACCAGCATGTACCTGTGGTGAGGACACATAGTTATAAACACTAAAACAAAGAGGTGAGGCCACTTTTGCTCTGTACAGGATAATAGCAATCTTACTCACTTCTCAAGGATGCTCTCTTTAAGTTTTTGGTCTGCCACTGTGGAAAAGCTCTTCCCATGGTTTACCTGAGGCAATAAGATAACATCAAATCAGACTGCTTACATACACAATGCAGGCAGCGGCTGACAAGAAATGCAGTAGCAGTGCAGCACAGACTCACATTGAGAGGAGTGGGGCTGAGTTGGACATCGCCCTCTATGATAAGGCGCACCGCTTCCTCCATGTCTCCTTTGGCAATAGACAGGGCGCTGCGAGCCTCTGACAGGCTACACTTGGGAAACATCTCCAGCAGGTGTTGCTCCTGGGACTCCCACTCAGACACTGGTAGCTGGTTATTTACACATTTATATTAGCTCAAAATCTGATGGATGTAAACTAGTAGAACATGCACTGAAAATATACTAAATTACAGTGATTCAAACACTTTGAGAAAAGGAAAATACTGTGCTGATGTGTGCTGAGATGATAACCTTGGCAGTGGCGCCCTCTGTCTGTGTTTTAAGGCACTGCGATTCTCTTCCTGGTGGAGGTTCAGCGGGCAGGGTGGTGAGTTTCAATGAAATCTCTTCTGTGCTTACTTTGGGCTCAGCTTCTTCATACGCTAAAAAGGAAACAAATTAACATCAGCACACTGTAGTGCAAATGCCAGGCTGCTGATCCCAATCTACAAAGAGTGGCACTGCCCAATTAAGTTTACTCTGGTGACTCCTTTGGTTACAATCTGAACATGAGGGAACCACTTGGATGGGTAAGACTGCCACAGCACTGCATTTCATAGAAATAAAAATAAAAGCAGTACCTGAGTTCCGAGCAGTGGCTAGTTTTGAAGCCAGATTGAACATCATTTCACAGACTTTCACACTGCAAATGAAAAAAAAAAAAGNCTGCTCAGCGCACAAAATGGAGGTGAACAGTACGGCCCCCTCTCTCCCTCAAAACTTATCAAATACACCATCAAATGACTCCAAAACGCTCTTGTGGACAACTTGTAGCTTACACATTCACCACCGCTATGAAATGATAATGTAATATTACGAGACAGAGTTGTTTTAAAGCCAAATGCGCAGCCGGAACTACATTCCAGACATATAGTACTTGCTGGGCGGTGATTTCAAACAGCGAATGTAGTTTCGGCTGTGCATTTGGCTTCAAAACAACTCTGTCTCGTAATATTACATTATTATTTCATAGCGCGGTAGAACAACAGGCACTGATAATTAAAGGTAATATACCTACCCATATGACTATAGGGATTACTGCAATAGGTGAATTTGCCAAAATGTTGAACTATCCCTTTAACAACAGAGTGGAGCCTTTTAAAAGCTCGGTGTTGGATGTAAGCCGCTGCTGCTGTTTAGCTTGTGCTAACACTCTAGAGACGGGCCTTCAGCACTGTGTCTAACCTGTTTAACAGCTGCAGGATGTTTGTTGATGCACCTCAATTTATTTTGTTTCTGTTGCCTTTGAATGAAGTGAGTTTCATGATGATAAAATCACTTTTATTTAAATATTGTCTGGTGGCTTTGGTGATAGCCATCTCTGAGCTGTTTCTGGTTGAAGAAAAAAGGCTCTTATTCTTTAACAAAAAAGGTCTGTCTCTGTAGAAATCTATTCTGTGATGTTGCCAGACATTTATAATAATAATCTGAGCATGTCAGTGGCAAAAACAAGCACTTGATGTAAACATAGGACAAACATGCCCTGAGTCACATTGCAGCCTGTTTCACCACTGCAAGCCACAGCCTTGTTGCTCAATGCTGGACCAGTTTCTAAAATTGTTCAAAAATTGTTCCCGTTAGTGAGACACAAACCCATGGCAAAACAGGGTCTGGGTTACAAACTACAAAAGCTACAGTGTGTATTATATTGTGTAAGGATTTCCTAAAAATAAGGACATATATTTTGTCAAAACTGGAACATTATTCTAAAAAGACTTATTTCAAAACAAATGTCATAAAAGTAGGAAGGAGTAAAATGGATGCATGAGGGACAGTGTGTTCATCATGTTTTGTAATGAATCCATGTTTGTCATTCACAGGTTGATTTTGATAACCCTGATTATGAGAAGTTTCCCAATTTTAAAAATGTTGTCGGCTATGAGGCTGTAGTGGGCCCAGGAGATGTGCTCTACATCCCGATGTATTGGTAAGAAGTACTTCTGCTTGGCCTGTCTAGAGACATGATGTATTACTTCTGTAGAAAATGATGTGTTTTCCCAGAATTTGTAGACATTTGTGCTGTTAAAAGTAACTACAGTTCAATGCAGCTTTGAAAAAAAACTAAATGTTTAATGAATTTAGTTACTTATATTTTCCTTCTTTCCTCAGGTGGCATCACATTGAATCACTGTTGAACGGGGGAGTGACAATCACTGTAAACTTCTGGTACAAAGTGCGTATATTTGAGTCTTTACAGCCGTTACTTTAACATTTATGTCGTCTTTGCTACCTTCATGATCACTCATCTATTTGACTCATTTGCTCAGGGTGCCCCCACGCCCAAGAGGATAGAGTACCCCCTGCGAGCTCATCAGAAGGTGGCCATCATGAGAAATATTGAGAAGATGCTGGGAGAAGCACTTGGAGACCCACATGAAGTAAAAGCACTTGGTTTTGTATCCTCTTTACAATACAAACTCCTATCATCAGTCACACGTCGCTTTCTAGAACATCAAATCAGATCCACATTTAGGTCACCTGTTACATGAAATCCCCGGGGCATGCTGACCCTTCCAGCAACCCAATTACTGCGAATATTTATGGCTTACCTGATTTAGTCCAAAGGAAAGATATATATGCAGAGTCTGGGACAGTGATTAAAATAATGTAATATGTCTGACTCTATTAAGTAGCATATCCTAACCAGGAGTCCTTTTGTTTCTCTGCAGGTGGGACCTTTATTGAAATCGATGATCAAGGGGCGATATGACCAGGATCAGAGTTAGAGCCATGCTCCTAAAACTGTTAACTGGACTGCTTTGGAAACTGTTTGCCGTGTTTAAGTGAGACTGCTGCGTGCGTAATGCAGATTCTCACTTTGGAGCTAAGTACGTATCACTGCATGGCAATAAGCGGCCATTTTGAAACCATTCTGCTTAAGTCGTCTCCGAGTGCCATGGTCATTGCAAATACATCAGTCACAGAAGAAACATGTGACTAACTCATGGGAACTTGTCCCACTTGAAGAAGTTTTTTTTTTCTTTTGTTTTTGAAAAGAAGGCCTAATTTGACTTGAAGGGCCAGTGTGGGGGATTTAATGGCATCTAGCTGTGACATTGCAGACTGCAACCAACTGAATACCCTTCCCTTTCTAAGAGAGCCTGCAGTGGCCTTCAGATAACATAAAAGTGCAAAAGGCCCTCTCAAGATCCAGGGTTTAGTTTGTCTGTTCTGGGCTACCATAGACACATTCAGGGCCCTACGGAAGGCATTATTACGGATTCCACAATCTGATAATTATGGACAAGCAGTGGGACTGTGCTATGATTGGCCAGTGCAATGTGTTGTGATTGGGTACCAGTAATGTTGACACATTGAGGTAGGAGGTGGTAAGGATGAGGGCAAAGAGGTCATGTTAAGGCCTAGTACAAGCCAATCACAGCACAGTAGGGTGCAACTTACCCAAGAACAGTAGTGCAATCCCCAAGGCCCTGATCATACAGAAAGAGTTTTATCAGCTGGAGGTGCCTTTTTGTAATTGTTGTTAATTGTGTTTTTTGCATTGTGATGCGCCACCCATTTCTGCGCTTTAAGCGGCTGCCGTTTTTGCTGGAGTGTTCTGAACTACTCGAGTTTAAAAAACTTCAACTCAGAGCGGAAAAAGGCCCCACTGCATCTGTTTTTCATCATCTTTTTTCCCATTGTCCAATTGGATGATTTGAGAGGCGGCGGTTCTTCTGCTGTAGTCTGCTGTAAGTTTACAGTTGGTAAGCAATGAAGGAGAAACTGGTGGTAGCAGTTGCTTGATACCTAGAGCTATACGGCCCAATGATAGACAGCAGGTTGTCAACTGCCCCCGAGTCATCCTATAATATGCCTGGAACCGGCCATCATCGAGGAGAAGCTCCTGGACCAACTGGTGGTACTCCCCATGATCCACCCTCTTTTTCAGGTTCTCATGTACCCACACAGATCTCAGTTACCCTGTGCCCAACAAACTATTTAATAGTTTTTTTTTTTCACCAGTGGCATTCAATTTAAAAAAAAGGCAGTGCGCCTTTGCAACCTGCAAAACGCTTTCTGTGTGATAAGGGCACAATAACACCAGCGGAAGAGGAACTGCTCCCTATGTAGACATGAAGGGATCATTCTAAGCTAACGAAAACACAATGATTCGTAGTTTCAGGTGATTATACACCATGAAAACATACAGGATTCCATTTCTGCCAGTTGATCCCTCTAAATCCTACACACTGGATCCTTTAAGTCGAGATATATTTATGTAAATCAGTATTCTCTATACATCTTCATAATTCAAGTTAAACATTTTTGATTGCACTTGCTCCCCCAGTCAGTAGAAGTTGTCTGGGATCGGTACCTTTAGAGATAAAATCTCAACGTTTTGACCACTAATGGATGGAGTCAAGGGTTATTATATATACAGTATATATCAGCTAAATACAGGACTTTTCTTATATAGATGTGACAGCAGTTGTGGGATGAAGTGTGGAGCGATCATATTGTATTCTCCATCTTTATCACAAAGACAGCTTTAAAAGTGAGTTGGTTCATACCTCTGAAGATGACAGGTCTTTTAAGTGTTTTTGAAATATTTATCCACATTATCTGCATTATCTCCACTCCTGCCTAGCGTGGTTTTCAGGGAGTGATAAGGCAAGAATTTTTCTGTTGCAAAGAAGACAGCTATAGGCACGGTAATGAAACACAGAAGTACAGTGATTAAAAACTGTGGTGAAATACGATCAAAAATGTGTGTGGGTGTGAGAAAGAGAGGCTCATATATTCAGCTGAAATCATATGTGACTGCTTGCAGTTAAACTGTTTTAGCTGAGCGATGCCGTATTGTGTTTATACTCTTGCTTGTTTGATTTGTTTGACTTTATTGAATGTGCTATTCTACGTACCGGTAATAGGTGAGGGGGCTTGGAAATAAATAACTGCAGTTTTAGTCGCAAATACAGTTAACTTAAAGAAATGAAAGGAAATACATATATTAACAGACTGATCTAGCAGAACCATCTGCTAGTATGTAGCTTATGTATCAGCATTTGCAGTGCAACACAATGCACCATCTAGTGGTGACGTTGTATAGTTACCTGCTCCATGCACTATACTGCTGCAATACACATATCAATATGCAGGTTTGCAGCAGATCTTGGATGTAACTACGCTGCAGTGTGTACAAACGTCCAGTTGGAAACCTGTACTTGCTCTTATGATTACTGTTGGTTAATAATCCTCAGAAAGGACTGATTTTACTTACATGCAGCCATATTTCGAAGACCTTGAACAACTTGAAAGGTGGCCGTCTCTGGGTGACTTTAAAGTGCTTCCCAGGAGTATTGTAAAAATGTAAATTAAACACAAGGGGGGGACAATTTCATATGTATGTGCCAAAACAATATGCAAACCAGTCAAGGGGAATCTCCACATTCAGAACGCTTTGTTTGCCTGTGACATTGGATCAATCTGTAAATGGTGAACTACAAATTAGGAATATCCAAGCACTTAATTTACCAGGACTATACAGGCTTTCAGGGGGTTCGACATTATTATGGTTTAACCTTTGAATTGTTGATAACTTGCCTATCTATTTCTTACAAGTTGCACAATGATGGAACAAAGATGCTTCCTCTGTGAAAAAATAATTAACCTGATGTAAGACTCATGTTTCATCTCTTGCTAGGTTAACCCTGTTTACTGTATGTGCCTTGCTTTACGATGGCGTGGCACTTAACGTTGCAAGGACATGATTTTTTTAATTTTATGATTACAATATTTGTTTTCACTCGCATTAAACAGCTTTAAAGGTGGGACTGACAAGGGTTCATAGAGATAGAGACATGTTTTTATTAATGGATGCCTGTCTTTTTTTTTTTGTTTTGAACATACCATATGTGCTCTGCTGGTTACTCTGATTAAAGTTTGTTTGCAAAGTTCTACACTACTGAGTACTGAGTGATGTAATGATTAGGTTTCCTGATATTTCACTGGCATATAAGGTAGTCTTAGTGGGTTTAAACCAGGGGTGTCAGACTCATTTAAGTTCATGGGCCTTATTCAGTTGTATTTGTCGCATTTTCTTTTAATGTAAAGAAGCACAAGTACATTTAAAAACATTTATCTATGTAATAATAGATGAACAGTCTGAGATATCCGCAATGTCAACAATATCACTACATTTTTCCCTACATTTCCAGTCTTTTGCAGTAATGCTGGCATCAACACACCAAACTAAAGTGGAAGCTATTGAGGAAGCAGGTTAAGTTATCTGCACCTCACAAACCATTTACATATGGAAACTTTTGGCCATATCTTAGGTGAAACACTACTTTAGTATTTGGAAGAAGTCATCTCAAGATGAAGTTATATGGCAATGCTTCCAAACAGGGGTAAAGGCATTTTCTTTGTCAATAGTCCTGTATTGTTATCCCCACCACTTGCAATCTTCCTCAGCTCAGCTGCCTGTTCCACCAGTGTAGACTGACATCTGGTGGTGTGTGTTCTGTGCACTACATCACTTCAATACAGCATCTCCAAATCAGTCTCATAGAAAGAGAAACATCTATATTTTGATGGTATTAAAATAATCATACCTTTGGGATTTGGTCATTCGTGGGCATACCATAATACCTTGATTCCGCCCAAGCCTTGTTATATCTTACACACAAAGCTAGGTAACTAAATAGTTGGTGCTTTTGAGCAAGCATCTTAAGTAACACGAGTGAACAATCCAAAGAATACAACGTGAATGATCTACAAAAATTAGTATTTATTTACTACAAATTGTGCGCCAGCGGTTCCTCAAAGCACAGGGTTAAAACTCTGAAAAAACTGTGACTAAACAGCTTTAGATAGAAATAAAGGACAACTTTGCCACTGATAATCAGTAACAACACATTGTTTCAACACTTGATTGTGTCACACCTACACTAAGGAAAACTAGATTATACCACCGATCAAAAACAATTGCTTATAGTTGCTTGAAATGAATGCAGAACACAAATAAAAAAACAGTATATATTTGTAAAAATTAAAAAAACAAGACACCTGGAAAACCCATTTATCCTAATATACAACAAGAGTCAAATAAGAATCCAATCATAATCAAAGTTTCCACAACCAACAATCACAAGCGAAGCAAAATTCACAACACAAATGGGATGGAAGGAGCCGTGATAGAGGACCACTTCTGTTACGTCCCTGAAAGCACACAACGGCCCTCTTCACCAGAAATCAGTAAGACAGTACAACTTTGCAAATTTAAACATCTATATCAAAAATAAAGACAATGCTGTTGGAAGGAACTTTAAAATCAAGTCCTCCCGCAGCATGTTTTGCTTAACATTTAGGGGGCAACCACAGTCCTCCACTTCATTATGCCAAAAACAGTAGTGCTGTAACAGTACGTGCAGCCTTTGAGAATTTGTTGTGCTAAAAAATGAGTGTTTTCCATTCAAGTTGGATCATAAAATTACATTTAAGGTGCCTCCTTGCTTTATCAGAGCTGTATCACTGACAAATATTTAACATTTCCTCCTCAGTTTATCAACTCTCTGTACTGGATGGCAAAACCTTGCATAATATCACATTCACTTCCTTTAGTCGCTCTAAGGGGTGTGATGACAGGAGATGATAAACAATCAGGACTGTGGCCTTCCTCTTGTTGACCTCATTGCTAGCAGCATATTTTCTTGTCATGAGGACACATAACCTCTTTCATTATCCAAAGTTATCTGGATAGTTTTGCTCATGTCTGGGACAGACTGCTGTTCAGCAAAGTTGTCCAGATAACTCTGTTATCCTGCTTCATGTGGTAGACATTCAGTACTGTACACAATAGAGCAGTGGTCCACAGAGTCAAGATTTCTCCTTAGTCATTAGTTCAAGGTCCCCACAGTTTAATATATCCAGCTTCCTACGTGCGTTTAGTCATGTCGTCGCGCTAGACTGATGTCTGTTAAGTAGCTGTCTGTTACTTACTCACTCTAAAGCAGGAAATGGCACTTCAAAGTAAAAACTCTGCCAGAATTTCACTGTACTTCAAGATAAAGTGTGTTTCACAAGCTTGACATGTTTGAGAGTCACTTGTGGTTAGCTCAGATTGGACCCATTAGTTGGGAACCACTGCATTGTAGTCTGGTCTTTGTTAAAACACAGTGGGTGTATCATAGGTACTAGAAACTAGACACCTGCAGCACAGTGTAGTTATCCAACCAAGGAAGACCACATATCAAATCCACAGGTGAGGATTGCTGTGGCTACCTGCTGTACAAATGTTTACTTGAAAAATCTATAAGAATGTTGATACCTGGTGTTAACATGCATTTCAGTGATCCAAACATGAGCGGACAGCCGAGACACATCACTGTACACATCTGTGTCTATTACATACCTCCAGCTTAGGTCTCTTAGCCAAGTGGTAGCAATAGCGGTTGTGTCGGTACAGCTGGAGATAGCACTGTCAGCAGACTTCAACACATCTTTTCTCACAGGGCAAAATGGTGGACGGTTACACAACACTCTGTCCAATTCCAAGTTATAGAGAATTAGCACACTCTTACGAAAACTACCATCACATTGTGCACTAAGGACGCTGTACTTGTTGAGGACGCACTAGTGTTTACAGTACAAAAGATATTTGGTCAAATGTAACCCAGACCAGCTTAGCAAGTTGTTGAGCGCTGTATTTAACGCTGTCCACATGTACTCGGATCACCCAAGATGCATTTTAATACCATGTGGAAACAGACGTGATATGTGTCATGAGTTTCATTTGAAAAGCATTTTGTAGCACAACAAATTGTCCAAATCACAAGGCTTGGCCAAAACATTTCCATAGCACTGTTTTCCTGTATGATGTAAAAATAGAACTTTAAATGAAATTGGCATCAATGATTTGATATGTACATAAAAAAGCAGTTGAGACTCGTAACGTCCAGAAGAAAACTCCACAGCACCACGAACTTATTTACAGAAACGACAAGAGATTCATCCCTACAACGTCACGTCATAATTATGAATCTATATTGTCTTTTGTAAGTTGAAGAATATACACATTAAAAACTAAAAAAAATGAAGAGGTAAAAAAGACAATAATGTCAGTGCAACATCAGACCTGCTGAAATGGCAAAAAGTAGATAGGTTAGGCTGTTACACAAACAATAACACAAGTTACAACATTCTCACCAAAGTATCACACAAAATTTCAAAAGCTCCTGAAGCAACTGAAACACTGTAATTTAACATTATAACCAAGGCATATAATGGTAACACAACAGTTTAAAATAAGCCACTGACACACTCACAAATATGTTCCTTTACTTGGGAATAAAATCGAACAAAGTCAGGCCAAATGAACTCAATTAAAAAAAAAAGTGTAAACAATATTGTCAGTAGCTGCTCTTACAGTATTGTGCTCGTCATCAATGGAATCGGTACTTTCGTGCAGGTTTGAGGTTGACGTACGTCTTCTTCATGTCCTCTGCCTCGTCTTTCTTCACAAGCTGATATCGCTCGCCTTTTGTGGTCACCACCTGGTTTCCATGGTACCGAACTAGCTTCTTCGGAGCCTGTAAAAAAAAATAATCAGAATGCACAATTTTTATTGAACAAAACAGTTTTGATAAAGCCACATTTTGGATATGGAGAACAACCAGACTTACATCTTTGGGGGCGACAGGCCGGTGTGTTTTCTTATCATCCTCCCTGTCCACCAGCATGTACCTGTGGTGAGGACACATAGTTATAAACACTAAAACAAAGAGGTGAGGCCACTTTTGCTCTGTACAGGATAATAGCAATCTTACTCACTTCTCAAGGATGCTCTCTTTAAGTTTTTGGTCTGCCACTGTGGAAAAGCTCTTCCCATGGTTTACCTGAGGCAATAAGATAACATCAAATCAGACTGCTTACATACACAATGCAGGCAGCGGCTGACAAGAAATGCAGTAGCAGTGCAGCACAGACTCACATTGAGAGGAGTGGGGCTGAGTTGGACATCGCCCTCTATGATAAGGCGCACCGCTTCCTCCATGTCTCCTTTGGCAATAGACAGGGCGCTGCGAGCCTCTGACAGGCTACACTTGGGAAACATCTCCAGCAGGTGTTGCTCCTGGGACTCCCACTCAGACACTGGTAGCTGGTTATTTACACATTTATATTAGCTCAAAATCTGATGGATGTAAACTAGTAGAACATGCACTGAAAATATACTAAATTACAGTGATTCAAACACTTTGAGAAAAGGAAAATACTGTGCTGATGTGTGCTGAGATGATAACCTTGGCAGTGGCGCCCTCTGTCTGTGTTTTAAGGCACTGCGATTCTCTTCCTGGTGGAGGTTCAGCGGGCAGGGTGGTGAGTTTCAATGAAATCTCTTCTGTGCTTACTTTGGGCTCAGCTTCTTCATACGCTAAAAAGGAAACAAATTAACATCAGCACACTGTAGTGCAAATGCCAGGCTGCTGATCCCAATCTACAAAGAGTGGCACTGCCCAATTAAGTTTACTCTGGTGACTCCTTTGGTTACAATCTGAACATGAGGGAACCACTTGGATGGGTAAGACTGCCACAGCACTGCATTTCATAGAAATAAAAATAAAAGCAGTACCTGAGTTCCGAGCAGTGGCTAGTTTTGAAGCCAGATTGAACATCATTTCACAGACTTTCACACTGCAAATGAAAAAAAAAAAAAGAAACAAGTAATGTAGTTGTCTGGTTGTTTATCACAGAAACATAACATTAAAAATAAAGAAAAAAGTCTGACCGCCTGTTAGGGGTGTGCCATATCATCTCATTCACAATAATACCGGTATAATTTTTAATATGATATGCAAAATTCACATCCTGATACTCATGATATTTCGACTTGTTGGCATATTGACGTCATACTGTTAACCACGACAACAACAAGCATGGCTGAAGGCAAAATTATTAGTGACTCAA